TTTTAATTTTATTTGCTTTTTTTAATTTTTTTATTTGGTCAAATAGAAAAAAAATTAAAAAAAAATAGATCCACGAGCGACACCTGACGGACACGTGGCTTTCGGCGAGCCACGCGAGCTTCTCCGGCGCCGGAGGACTAAAACAACGAAAATTTTTCACTTATGGAACTAGTTTGCGACAAACTCCACTTACGAGACTAAAATAATAAAGGGGTCTAATTACGGGACTTAAAAAACTGTTTACCCTGAAAAAATGTCCGCAATTAATATAAATAGGGGAATTTAAGGAAAATATACTAAGTACTTAAAAAATATATTAGTAAAATAATTATTATATAATATAAATAATTATAAATTAAAAAATAAAATAACTAAATAATTTAATTAAAATTAAAAAAAATTATAAAATTGAAAATGTTAATCAATTTAGGCAAAACAAATTATATAGGAAAAAAAAATGGATATTTTATGTGGGCATAAAGAATATTTGAAATAGAATATTCTTGCACATATATTCATCAAAAAACAGTGGGGTGTGTTTGTTTGAGGGTTTAAATTTTGGATTGTGATTTGAATGCATGATATCATATAAATAAGAATTGGTGTGATGTTTTGAATATAAAATTAATTTTTTATATAATATAAAAATAAAAAATTATGTATTTGATTTGATATATTTTTGAAAAAAAATTAACGGGAATAATAAATTTCCACAAAATTCTTCGAAGAAACACACCCATTACTATATTTCTCATTTGCTATTTTAGTCTGTCAAATATCAACACAAAATATTAGTCTCTCAACCCTTACTAAGCATATATATGACATTAAAATATCTTAAATTATTAATTAGGTTAAGAGTCTATTTTATTTGTCTTATATTTATTGTATATAAATATATATGGATAATTTTCAATAAAAATATATATATTTTTTATAAAATATTATATAAATTTATACTTTCTCAATTCCGCTAAAAGTGTCACCTAATATATGGTTAATTTTCAATAAAAATATATATATTTTTTATAAAATATTATATAAATTTATACTTCTCAATTCCAATAAAAGTGTCACCTTTATTGTAAATACGAAAACTTAGACAAAATATAATTAATAAGTAATTAAAAATTATATTAGTAAAAATAATTATTTTATAGTAAAAATTTATTATAAATTAAAATTAGAATAACTCAATAGTTTAATTAAAATTAAAAAAATTATAAATTATAAAATTTAAAAGGTGACTAAAGTGTATAATCATTTCCTAAAAAAAGACATTATGTGAACGAAAAAAAAATAATGAACACTTTATGTAGAAATTGTCCCGGATGATCTAGTGGTGTGAGGTGAATTTATGACCATGAAGTCATAGGTTCAAACCACCGACGCTCCAGATCGCCTGCCACACATATTTCTACGAAAGTGTATTTATGACTAATAAGTTCCACATAATTTGTCCATATTCTTTATTTTTGTTTGTCCTACATAACTTTTCATTTATATTTTTGGAAATATAATTATGCATTTTAATCACATTTTAAATTCTAAATTTTATAATTCTATTAATTTTAATTAAATTATTTACTTATTTTAATTTTAATCTATAATTATTTTTACTAAATAATAATTATTTTTACTAATACTTTTTTTAATTTCTTACTAATTATACTTTATCTAAATTAGCTGGGTCCAACCTACTTGAGTCTTAATTTTTCGTATTTTGTTTGTTGTTTGAGTCCGATTTTTGGATCGTACTTATTATTATTAGAGAAATTTGAAAAAACTATCACGTATATAGGTCAAATTATTATTTTTGAATATTTTTTTTTTCTATTTTTACAATTTAGGATATTGTGTGTACTCCGTGCATTATTTTTGTTCTCCGGCGCTGGAAAAACGCACGTGACCGTCACGTGCACCTTCGGGGCAAAGCCGACATATACCTGGACGTCGTTGTTGCTGTATTGTCGTCCGCATGGTCGTTGGACAAGCGACGTGGAATTTTTTATTTTTTTTCGCTTTGAAATTTGGGACATTATATGTACTCCGAGTATTATTTTTATCTTTCGGCGCCGGAAAAACAATTTGTTCTTAATTTTTTCTTTTATTTTAATTTGGTCCAATTGGACCAAATTGCAAATATGTTATTTATAATTTAGTCCAATTGAGCTAAAGTAAAATTTAAAAAGAAATATATTTTTTAAAATAATTAGGGCCCGTTTGAATTAGCTTACAAGGTAAGTAGAAGCCAGAAGCAGAAGCCGAAAGCCACAAACAAATGCAATTCAATTTTGTGTTGGATGTAACAGAGTTGCAAATGCTTTTAAGCGGTTAAAATTACTCAAAAGGACACGATGTTAATATAATACTACCAATATTTTTCTATACCACTTACATAATTTATTTTTAAATTTTATTAATTATATTTAAAGATTTTAAATTGTAGTATAAAAATATATTTTTAAAATTTAGTTATTTATATTTTAAAATTTTATTTTAAGGGTAATATATAAATTAAAAATAAAATTTACGATCCAATATTAAATTATTTGTATTTTAAAATTTATTTTAAAATTTTACTAATAATTTTAATATAATTAAAAAATTTATATACTCCTGTTTAAATTTGGTATCTTAATTTTAATTAAAGTATAACATATAAATTAAAAGTAATAATTTAATTTTTTTTATGAAAATATAATATATATAAATTTTTATATCATATATATAAATAAATTATTTTTATACTGTATTATTGTATTTATTATTATTATTATTATTAAAAATAAAATATTAATTTCAACTGAAAAAATATTTATGTTTATCTCAAAAGTTGCCCTTGAGGTGATTAGAAAAAAATATTTTTCAGCATGAAAAACTACTTCGACATTAAAAAAAAATAAAATATATACAAACAAATAAAAAATGTCAATTGGGCTTATACTGCTTTGGGAGAAGTTAGCCACGCAATTATTGGCTCGTGGTGGAGCCTTAGAGAAGTGACAACCTTTTGTTAAAAAAATTCAAGATGCGTGTGTACATAAAAGTATCGTAACATATTGATTCCGTTCCCTTTGTACAAAAGATTTGGAAATCTTGGTACTATTAAAATATTTTAAATATCAAATTAAATACCCATTCGGTCTCATAATTAGGTATTTATTTATTTATTTATTTTTTATGTAATTTTAAAAATATTAGTATTATATTATGATATAGTAGAAATAAAGTAGAAATGACTAAAATAACCTTATTAGTATGGTATGATATAAATGTAATGATATTTGCGTAATATATTGTAAGTTGTAAGGGTATTTGTAATGTTAGGTATATAGTATAATTGAAATTGATACTTTGTTATGAGACGAACTAAAATGAAAAATGGATACTTTGTTATGAGACGGATGTAGTATAATAGTAAAAAATTATACTCCCTCGGTCTCGGCTAATTTGTCCCATTTAGATCACTAACTTTTAGGTATTGTATAATTAGTGAGTAATTAAAAAGTATATTAGTAAAAATAATTATAATTTAATAAAAATAATTTTAGTTTAAGAATAAAATGACTAATTAATTTAATTAAAATAAAATTATAAATTATGAATTTTAAAATATTATTTAAATATATAATTGTATTTAAAAAAAGAAATAAAAATTATGTGAGACGAATGAAAATAAAAATAGTGGATAAATTAAGTGGGACGGATGAAGTATTAAATATGAGAATCTTATAATATGCTTCCATCTAGGTATTGATTGAATCAAATAATATAAGACAAATAATTCAGAAATTATATATTATAATACAATATATATATTATATATTCTAATAATACATAATTATAAAAATTGCACAACATATACTTTCATATATTTTGCAATGAAAAATAATATGTTTTATTGTTTAGAACATCTGTTAGAGTGAGTGTCAATTGCATTACTTTTTTATCTTTTATGTCTACATCAACATTCAAATTATTCTTTTTAACATTCATAGTCACCTTTACGTTACAGTGCTCACACAAAAATGGTGGTGTTTGACTCATTCACATAAAAAAAATCTACTCTTTTCATCTCATAACTGTGTATTCATTTGCTTTTTGCATGTAATTTTAGAAATATTAGTATTATATTGACATATAGTAAGAATAAAATAGAAATAGACTAAAATAACCTTATTAGTATTGTGTGATAAAAAAAATAATAGCATTTGTGTAATATATTGTAAGTTGTAAGGGTATTTTATAATGTTAGGTAGATAATACAGTTGCTAAAAAAAATAGATACTTTGTTACGGGACGGACTAAAATAAAAAAAATGAATAGTTTGTTATGGGACAGACGGAGTATTATTTTTGTCCCATTTTATTTGTTCATTATTTTTATTTCGGTCGATCCCACAGTATTTGTCATTTTATTTTAGTTAAAATAATTAAAATTTTTAATTGCATTTAAAATTTTTTAATCAATAATTTTTTAATATTAATTAAATTAATTAGTTATTTCAATATTAATTTTTAATTATTTATATTATATAATAATTATTCTATTAATGCATTTTAAAATTATTTATTAAGTATACTTTACCTAAATTTTCTTATCTATTGTAAACCGAATATAAAACGTGGGACAAAAGAAGTATATTTTAAGGGTGTGTTTGTTTGAAGGATTTGGGAAGAATTTACGCTATTCAAACAATTTTTTTTCTCCAAAAACATCAAATAAAACACATATATTTTTTTTTATATTATACTTAAAAAAAATTATTTTTACATTCAAAACATCACATCAATACATATTTATATCACATCATACCATTGTTTCAATTCAAATTTTTTACTATTCAAATCCCAATTCAAAATCCAAATCCCCAAACAAACACACCCTAAATAGATTGTGATCGAATATTTTAAAACACAACATACTTATCTTCCTAACCAAATCAATTTTAAAATAAGTATTTATTTGGAAATCTACAGCACATTGTCAACCATGCATTAATGTTTGCTCCAATCTGATCACACACCACTTGCACTTGCAGTTGGATCTCCATCTCTATAAAGCATGGAAGCTTCTCACTTCATTTCTGCAGCTAGCAATGGCTAAACCATCTTCTGTAAATTCCACCATAGCCATTGAGGAGATCCAAGAAAGGACAAGAAGAACTCTGCAGAGAGGATTGGATCCAACGGCTGCGATGAAGTTGATCGACACCCTTCAATGGCTGGGAATCTCTTATCATTATGAAGAAGAGATTGAATTCTGGTTGGAGAAATTACAGCATTGGGATGCTGGAGAAGATGACTTACATGCCGCAGCTTTACGCTTTCGACTGCTTCGACAAAATGCAAGGCCTGTTAGCTCTGGTAATTCTTTTCTATTCCTAGTTATATTTGGAGGAATGTTTAGATGTTCAGGTGTTGCTTAGAGTTTAGATAAAGTATAATTAGTAAGTAATTAAAAAATATAATAGTAAAAATAATTATTGTATAGTAAAAATAATTAAAGATTAAGATTAGCATAACTAAATATTTTAATTAAGATTAAAAAATTATAAAATTTAAAATGTAATTAAAATGTATAATTATATTTTAAAAAAAGAAATAACAAATTATGTGAGACGAATGAAAATAAAAAATAAAAAATAAAAAATAAAAACAAATCACGTAGGACGGAAGGAGTAATATGGTTTCAGTTATGATTGTTAAAACTATGTGTTGACCATTGATATTATAGATGTGGTGTTTGAACATATCTATGTGACAGAGAGATCAGGTGCGGAACCAAGATTTGATGAAAGGAGAGCTGATTTTTGAAATTTTTGAAATAACACAATTTTTTTATTATCAGATAATTTTATTATTCGAGATGTTATATTTTAAAAACTTTACAAAATAATAAACTATAACAACATCAATTATATATTGCAATATTCTTTAATTTGGTATTGCTTGAAATCCGTAAGTATTTTGTATTAGAGAAGAATTTCACTTAAAAATATTATTGAAAGTTGTTTCTTTCTTTTCGTTAGAAATTTTCAATAACTTTTATTTTTTTACTAATAATTAATTTTATATTCAAAATATTACGTAATATTTATCTATAACACAAAAAATATTCAAATTTAATTTTTTTATTATTCAAAATTCAAAGGAACCCACTCTATATAAAATTTTAATTTACTAATATTTTTATACTACATATATATAAATATTATTATATATATATTTAATTAAAAAAAATAAAAGGGGGTGGGATAGGAGGAGCTTGTGTCTATCCCCGAGGCCATCTTCAACCCTCCACTCTATTTTTGCAGTTGCTACAGTAAAAATATGCAGTTGACCTATAGTAATTTTACTTCAACCTTAAACTTCAATTTTTACTAAAAAAAAAAATAAAAAATAAAAAAATATATATTTCCTATATATTCCTCTTTTATATTATTTTATATAACTTTTCATATTTATAAATTACACCTCAACTTTAATTTATTTTTACATTAGATCCATACATATATAATTTATATTACTTTTCAAATAGTAAAATTATATATCAATTTAAAAAATAAAATTATATATTACTTTTCAAAAACTAAAATTATAGCACTTTTAAAAAATAAAATTACATACAACTTTTTAAAATATAAAATTATACATCATCTACTAATAAATTAAAATTACACAATACACCAAAAAAATATAAAAAATACTACAAAAATACAACTTTTTGGAGTAACACTGTGCATATCTGCAAAAATGGGGGGATTTGGGGGTGGGTTGGAGCCCCCATTTTTTGTACAAGCCACTGAGTTGGAGATGATCTGATTGTATATGATGTGTCTAATATTATGATACAATGTCAGTTCATTATATTAATATATTTTTTGTCCTATTGGTTTGTGATTTTCATGTACCATTACTCGCAACCTATATTATTAGGGTAGACAACACATTATTTTAATTAACATGTTAATTAAATCAATGTATTGAGAGTGGATACTTATAGTATGTTCTATGAATAGGCATGTGACAATATCGACGGTCATATGTGATGCATCAACTATTTTAATGCGTTGTCAATTCACATATTATATTTATATTATATTGATATAAATCTTGCCGTGTTGATTTGTGATTCATGTACTATAATCTTAACCTATATTTGGACACTGTTTGGCTCGTCACAATTAAATTATTACTTATTAGGGCAGACAACACATTATTTCAATTAAGATAATCTAGGATAGTTATGTTAATTAAACCCATGTGTTTAGAGTTGATACTTATAGTGTGGTCTATGAACAGGCATGTGACGAGATCAATGATCATATGTGATCCATCAATTATTGTGATATGTTGCTAATTCATATATTTTATTTATATTATATTAATATAAATCTTGTCTTGTTGATCTGTGATTTATGTACCATAACCTCAACCTATATTTGGACACTGTTGGCTCGTCACAATTCAATTATTACTTATTACTATTTTAATTATATTACTTATGTAAACTATGGACAGATGTTTTTAAAAAATTCATGTTGAAAGAGCAAGACAAAGAGGGACTATTGAATTTATACGAAGCTTCATATTTAGGAGGAAATGGTGAGGATACCTTATCCGAGGCCATGAAATTTGCGGAAAATGAACTGAAATCTTTGCCAGTGCCACAACATATATCGAGACGTGTGGCCCGAGCCCTTGAGCTGCCGAGGCATCTTCGAATGGAGAGGTTGGAGTCGAGATTGTACATTGACGAATACCGGTGTCAAGACAACCATTGTCCCCTTCTTCTAAAGCATGCAATATTTGATTACAATGAGGTCCAGTCATTACATCAAACTGAACTTGCTGAGGTATCAAGGTAGTTTCAAAATCATAAATAAGTCTATGGCATCAAAAAGTTTTTTGCATGGTATTACCTATTTGATTCTTATTGGGATAGAGGATTATAGGTTGTTTCTTACATATATATTTGTTCTTCAATCAAATTTAGGTGGTGGAAGCAATTGGGCATAATTGAAAAATTAGGGTTTGCTAGGGATCGTTTGATGGAGTGTTTCTTGTGGACAATTGGAGTTATTCCCGAACCTAAATACTCAGAAATTCGCATAGAAATGGTGAAGACAACAGCACTTTTAACAGTGATTGACGATGTTTTTGAGATGTATGGCTCCATGGACGAACTTCATCTCTTTACCAGTGCTATCCAAAGGTAAGAATACATATATACATATATTACTTGGATGTGTTCTGAAAAATTTTAAGTAGAGTCCCCTTCATTTAAATTTAATGAAGAATATGCATTAAATGTCAAGACTAACAAAATCATTCATCTCAATTGCAATCCTAACTTGTAAGACATGCTGTCGGTCAATTTTTAATTGATGGAGAACTTTGAGTAAGATTCTTAGAATAAATATATGGAGAATTTCGAGTAAAATTCTTAAAATAAATTAAATAGATTTCATGCAACTTTTAAAGAACGCAAAATAATTGTGATTTTTAATATATATATATATATATATTTGAAAGCAAATATTATGGGATGTAGTGTAAATTGCCCATATATATAATGAACTTGTGCATATTCAACACGACCTTTAAATTAAAATGCTAATATTTTTTCTTTATTTTTTTTAGGTGGAATCTAGATACTATTGAACAGCTTCCAGAATACATGAAAATATGTTACTCGGCATTATACAATACTACGAATGAAATTGCCTTCAAAGTACTCAAAAAACAAGGGAGAAATGTTCTACCTTTCCTTTCAAAAGTGGTATAAATATTTTCATGTTTTTAGATTTTAGTTTTCAGGAAAAAAAAAAAAAAAAAAAGAAGTCATAATCTCTTTACATATTCATTGTGTACTCGACAGTGGGTGGATACAATCGAAGCTTATATGATCGAAGCCAAGTGGTTCAACAATGGGAACATACCTTATGTAGAAGATTATCTCAAAAATGGAGTAACAACTTCGGGTTCATACATGGCTCTTGTCCATTTATTCTTTTTGATGGGTGAAGGAATTACAATTGAAAATATGAACCTAATGTCTAAACCTTATCCTAAGTTATTATCAAACTCAGGAACTATTCTTCGACTTTGGGATGATCTTGGAACTACTAAGGTAATTATTTTACAAAAAGAAACACATTCCACATTCCACAGTTTTAATTTTTATTTCTTTTCTTTATTTTTTTATATATATAAACACACTTATTAACTATATCAAAATATAGGGTTTTTTTTTTTTTTTAACTATATAACAAGTATACTTATATAATTTTTAAAACAATATTTTATATAAGTGTAGGAAGAACAAAATCGCGGCGACAATGCATCAATAATAACCTCCTTGTTGATGCATAAAATTGCTGGAAGTGAAGATGAAGCTAAGAAATATGTTAAGGAGCACATCCTCCATATATGGAAAAATATGAACGACGAGCTTAAGGGTTCGAATTTATTGCCATTAGCTTTCGTGAAGGCATGTTTGAACATGTCAAGAACTTCACAGGTTGTTTACCAACATAAAGAAGATAGCTATTTATTCAGTGTGAAGAAATATGTTGATCTCATACTTTTGAAGCCAATAACATACTAAAATGAGATTAACTATTTAGAAAAATGTCTAGTATATTTATACCACATTATACTGCATTTGATATTTTCATATTTTATTTGATATATATATATATATATTTACTTTGCTCAAACTTAATAATGAATTAAACAAGAAAACTCAAACAAAAAGACATGTTTAAAAAAAAAAAAATTCTGAGTAAGGCTGAACTTTTTTAGATTACTCAAAATAGAAGTCACTTTAATTAAAAAAAAAAAAAAACCAATCCTATAATGTAAATCATGAACATATCAAGGTCTCTTATTAAAAGCATAGAAACTATCACAAAAATTCTTGAGTTAACCATAGAAAATGGGAGTGATAAAGTCCAAACTTCTAGAATCTCACTTACCCCTATAACAAGCCCATTTATGTCTCATTTCCATCAACCGATACACCCCATAAACTTCTTCTTCTCGATTTTTCTTCACAGTTGTACATTTGGATTTGATATGTCCAACACCACCACATCCAAAAAAAGTTGATTCCTTTACAATGCCAGGTTGTGATGACACATTGAACTTCTTTATTTGACCACTTTGGGATGAACCTTGGAGCTTACTGATATTCAAACAATGTTGCTCAGAATATCTCCGGTGTTGTCCAGGTGTCTTGACATCAGTTTGATTCACTGGCTGAGAGTTACCAAAAGATTGTCAAGCTCGTTTTTCACTTATCATTTTTGACAATTTTCTGGACAACAGAACTATTTTCTCATCTGATTTTACTATTTTCATATCTTCAGTAGAAAGCGCAATACCTTTTGGAGTCTCTTCTTTAAGGTGATTCATCTCATAAGTCACTATAATTCTATTCAAACCTTCAAGAGTTATGGATTTTAGCTTTTTCATTTCTTCAAGTGCTGCAACTTTTGGAGAAAACTTCTCTGTGACAGTTCGAAGCATTTTCCTTACAAGATTTTCCTCGTTGAACTGAAGACAAAGGGCATGTGCTTGATTCACAACTTCTTTGAATCTGCTATAATATTGTCCAGCAGATTCATCATCATTCATCCTTAATGAATCAAACATGCTTTCCACCCTTTGAAGTTTGGTTGCTCGACCCTCAGTTGTACCTTCAAAAGCACTTTTCAATGAATCCCAAGCATCCTTAGCTTTGGTACAATTGAATATGATTCTAAATTGCACCTCGTCAACAACAAAAAAAATACCATTAAAGGCTTTTGCATTTCCAGTAGTCGCATGCTTTTCTTCAGCACTCCATTAAGATTTTAGCTTTGGGACGATGGTTAGAAGGTCTGTGGGTCTCTCCAGGCACGACCTTCGTAGGTTTAGTCCATCCAGTCTCAATGGCATCCCATGCATCTTCACCAAGCATTATTAGAAAAGCTACCATTCGAGTTTTCCAATAGCGGTAATCATTTCCATCGAACAATGGTGGACGGCTTGTGGAACCTCCTTCTCGATTCATTTTCAACCACGAACAAATCTACTCTGGGTATTGAGCACGATGCTCTAATACCATATGTTAGGTAAGAAGAAAGACATGGGCTGGAACAGATACACATAAGAGGCCAACTCCTCCGAGTCTAATGGCAGCGGAAATAGGAAACTACAAAGAGTTTGTACTTCGGAAACACGTGGTATTATTTTGTGGTTATAACTCTTGTTTGTGTCACATATACTTGCCTATGACTAGCCAAGATCAAACATAAAACAAACAGCACACTAGATTTGTTAACCAAGTTTGGTGTAACTACCTATGTCTGGGGGCTTCCAATCTAAGAGACGTCCACAAGGGACTCAATGACTCAACAAACACAGACCCAAAGCTATCCTTTCCTACAGTCTTCTTTACATCGCAATGTACAAGAAATTAGGGATTAAACCGCAATTCTAATCCTAGCAGACTCTACCAGTCTAACTAAGAGTAAGCGGGTACAGGTTGATCTTCCTCTCCTATTGGAAATCCATTTCCTCCTTCTTCATACGAGCTTCAAATCTCCATGAGAGCTCAGATTCTTCTTCAGATCAAGGAGTAGTGAAAACGAAAAGATTGAGAGAAAATACACTCTTTCTCTCACTAGATTTTTCACTATGTTTTCACTATACTCACAAGACTGTCTCATTGTCTGCTTATACAAACAAACACACTGCCTCAATGCAGTGTTTAACCAACGTTGGGGTATTAAATGCACCACCACAAACCTGCAACATTGTTTTGTCTTGTCCTGAACATTCTTCTATATTTGACAATCTATATCCTGATAAAACCTTTGCAAAATGGCACAAATAGGACATACAAAAGGTTTTCAGCAACAGTCTACTGCATTCCATATTTGGGTCGTCATCGAGCTTTGATACCCTGAAAAGTTAGTAACATATGCCAAAACAAGAAATGATACTTTTATAACATGGTAGTTCCTTTGCAAGTAGCCAAGGATTTGCAACGGATATTAATACCAAGAATGTGTGTCTCGAGGCATTCAATGTCTCGATTCTACAGCCCTTAACATGGTTGAAGACCAGCCTCGTCTTCCAGAGAGAGCGAGGTGTAGAGTGCAAGGATAGAATTGTTTTCTAATGAGATAAATAAATTCGTTTTTCTCTCCACTTATATGAGTCTATCCCTTCATGTATAAGAGAGTATAGTGGTATTTTCATAGAGGTTTGAAGTTGCTTAGATGAAAAAGATAAAAGATGATCAATCGTAGAAGATGACCAATACGTATGGAAGTTTACTTTTAATTAGACAATGTGTTTGTTGGTGGTGTTACTACTGTTTAACAATTCGTCTTTCTGTGTTCGGAGAAACACAGAGAGTTTGTTTAGAGGATAGTGTGTGGAGTATGTTGCTAAGTGTCTTGAGTCATTGTAAACCTGGTGATAGAGTTTAGTAATTGACCTATGGATTGGCATCCCTGATATGTAGATTTTAACACCAAACTAGGTCAACAAACGTTATGTGTTTTTCCTTTATGTTTTGTACTCGACCGGCCATAGGCTTGTGGTCATTCATTCATAGATGTTGCAACAACAAGATAACCACGTGTTAAAGTTGTGTTGACCTCATACAGTTTTATAGTTCCGCTGTCAAATAAACTCGTTGGCATTAGATCTCTTTACCATGATTCCCTATATCAAACATAGAGGAAATGATATTACTTTCTTGTATTAATTCCTACAGTTTTACAATATCCTTAAGTCGCTTGAGAAACATATGTACTAAGAAAAATTTATATTTCATACGGGATTTATTACATTAGATGTCATTTTTTATGAATGCAACAAGAAGTTTAAATTTAGGTAATACTTCCTTCATCCCATCTTATTTGTCTACTATTTCAATATTAGTCCGTCTCACATAATTTCTTGTATACTTTTAAGAAAAATAATTATATATTTTAATTATATTTTAAACTTCATACTCAATCATTTTTTTAATTTTAATTAAATTAATTAGTTATCTTAATCTCAATCTTTAATTATTTATATTATAAAGAATTATCTTTACTAATATATTTTTTAATTATTTACTAATTATATTTTACCTACATTTTCGTATCTACAGAAACTAGACATAAAAGAGGTAACGGATGGAGCATTACTATTTACATATAAACTAGGAGCACACAAGATAATTAAAATAAATTGTTTACCTTGGAAGTTTAAATACAATTGCATATATAAGTAGAAGTCAAAACTAAAAGCAATTTAATTTTATTTTTGTATGAATTTTTGTGAAAATTGTTTCTTATGAATAAAATAATAATAGTTTGAATACAATAAAACTAAAAGTTCTTTTAAAGTGTTAAAACTATTAAATAAGATAGGCTAATTTAAACGTAATTTCTATTTGAACTTTCTAATTTATTTTAAAATTTTATATATTATTTTTGAAGATTTTATATTATCTAGTCTAATTGAAAATATATTTATTGAATTCTATGTATAAATTATATATGGAGACTACAATACGTTTTTTATTCCATGCAAAATAGGTAAATTAGAGATTAAAAAACATATTTAAGAGTTGTGATCAATCTCTAATGCTTTGAATATTAAACTATCGAAGGAAACATGTATAATAATTTAATAAGTAGCCTATAAGACGAATGCACATAAAAAATGTATGGTATAAAATGTCTTAGTGCAAGTAAATAAATTAACTTTCTATTGATTAATACATGCTTCGTATGAAATAAGAAGTCTCCTAATCTTTACCTATTTTACTTGATAGACTATTTATGTGCACATGATCATATTTTTACAATTGAGTGCTCGTTTTCTGACATTAGATATAAGGTGGAAGGAATTATGTTTAGTAATATATATTATATGATGTTTGGATATGTTACTTGTTGGAAATTGGAGTTTGAGCAAATATCTTTCGAACACCTTAAATAGGGTCAACTTTCCAAAATAAATGTATAGCAACCCATTGCCAATGAAATAAATACTGAACTCCAAAGCAATCAATGAACAACTCTTTCTTAACCCATTTCTATAATGAACTAACTTACATTTGAGGGATATCAATCCACGAGTATTTCAACTATAATTAATACTGATTACAAAACAAAAACAACTATAAACTCCCTTAACTCATTTCCTCCACAAAGGCTCACCTTGGATGCACAGGTATCGATCATCACAAATGCATACTGACACCAGTTTTTAGAATAGCAACAGAGAACTGCAGCCTACGAGCTAGTTATATGCTCTAGTTGAACCTCCAAAAACTCTTTCCTCTAGCGACTCCTTCGGCGAGTTGAAGTGTTAAACGCAGGTTCAAAATATGGAGATGGAGAGGGACATGAGTGAGAGCTTGAATGTGTATTTCTTTATCTAAAAATATGTCTCACAAAGTGATCTACGGCTAGTTTGATATCCCAGGCTGAATAAATAGTCTTAGAATTGACCTTGTGGAATCATGCCATTAATTTCCCTTTGCACCAAAATGGTATAAGGTATTTCTCCATAAACAAAGAAACATATTTACCTCCCTTATTCATCTAGGTTGTGTTCGTTTGACAGATCTGTGCAAGACTTTACTGTACAAATATTGTATAAAATTGTAATTCAAAATCCTAACCCTACACCCTATGCACGTTGTTGGACCATAGCCTTCCCTTCTTGCAAAAGTTGTCGCGAGAATCTCTGCGATCTGCCAAATCCACCCTGCAGCTTTGATTCACGGACGCAAACGCACCCAACGGTAGGTGAGACAATAAATCATCAGCATTCCTTTTTAGGGCATTTCAATTTCAGATCTGCGGTGGCTCAAAACCGGACACTGCGACAACGACACCCAAACGACCTAGAGGTGAGCAAATCTCAACACATTTTCCCCGATTTTGCATGATATCAATTTTATGCTTCTATATTTTCCATAAGTCGCCCAAAATTAGTTCAAACATCGAGAAATTTCATTAGAATTGCGTGAACTTGGTTTGATTTGGGTGACCTCTGTTCAATTTTAGGGTTTTATGTGTGTTTTCCGGGGCTAATTTTTCCGCGAGTCTTAGGGCGAGTAGGCCATAGTTTGAGTGATCCTTGTTAACCTGTGAAAAAAAGAATGGCTTGTTTGAAAATCGGGATGATTCCGACGATCTCTGTTAAACTAGAAATCTTCCTAAATATTGCACTTACAAGTAAGGTGGGGAAGTGTCCTGAACACACTCCGGAAATAATAGCTCATAAGTCGCTAATATTGTGTCCCCCTTTTTACTATGGGGGACATTAGAAACCTTGTCCGAAAGGAGTGGGATAAGGTTTCTTCAATGTTATTATCCATTGAACCGTGTCTACTTTTACGAATATTAGGACCATTGTGTTAGGGGATACGGTATCTGTTCAATATTAATAACCGCCGGGGAGTCGGCCTTTGGCGTTTTAGAGGAGGCCTATGCACATTGTTTTGAGTTTGGCCAAGTTGTCGGAATCAAGAAATAATGTGGTCCAAGTGTCTTTGATTTTATCTCAATTACACATTGTTTGCGAGTTTCTTTTCCTTAAGCAATGACTTCTACAAATGTGCTCGTTCGCGTTAGGTCGTACGATATATTTGTATTGCCTGCTAGATTGGGAGATTGTATCCGTCCTTCGTTAGTTTAGGTCATAATCTTTAAGCTTACTTTTGATGAAAGTATAATTTAACTGAGAATGTGCTTACTAATCATTAGATTACGCACTATAGTACTAAATACTTGCAATGGATTCAAGTTTATGAACTTTTCGTGTTACCTAGTAGGCCAAAATTAACGTGGTTGGTCGATTACTAAAATATTATATGCATAGAAGTGTTTTTGGCTTTAATCTGTCATTGCATAACCGATTGCCATTAGAACACTGAAATCCCTAGAGTAAAGTCTGTCTACATCTTATAACGCTTATACAGTGTTACACTAGAGGGTGAAGTTCCTGATGCGCATAGTTCAACCGAGAGCTGCGACCCACCCCCCAAACGCGGGATAAAGCGCAAGGTTAGTCCGCATGGCTTTTAGTTACATCAAAAAGAGTACTTTCCATGGTTTTTGCGACAAAGTTGGCATAGATCCATCATTATTGGTATATCCGATATCCTAGGTAAGCAATGCCACGCGGAAGGCGCACAACGGAGGATCCTCCTTCACCGTAGGCTAATTGGACGTTTCCATAAGAGGATTGTTTCCTCCACCTAGTGTGGTTGCAATGGCAGTTAGAGGAGTATCAGTGAACAAGCTTCACAAAATCGGTGCGGGAAGATATCACCGTGAAGTTCAATGCAGAGATGAATGCCCAGTACAGGCTAGAACAACTTCAGACGAAGCTAAAGTGTACGAAGAAGAGGTATTTGGAACTCCAATCGTTTGTGGTGAATACAATGAGACTTGGATGGGATCCGGAGTCACGTTTGATAGTAACAATTGAGGAGCGAAAAACGGACTGGGCTCTTCTAAATTATTTACACGTTTTGCGGATCTCTTATATCGTTATCCGTGTAGATAACGGTTTGTCATTGACCAAGTTTAACGTATCTCTCTCAGGCCCATAGAGACTTCGCACACCTCTTAACAAAACCGTTCGTCCACTTGGACTATTGCCACGATATGTTCAACCATGAAGGGGGCACACAGAACACTATCTTCTAGTTTGGATAGTGCATTCAACGGACCAAGTGGCAGATGAAGTGTGGATCCGAATACAGAAGAACTGAGCCATGGGCACAGAAATAGGGGTCGATGGGACAGGCGGAACGAACACAGGGACGGGTCACATAAGGCCCTCTTAGGCCGGGCCAAGTGTTAGGACGGTTCGGTGGAGGAGAGGCTCGAGTCACGCGGATGAGGTACGTGTTGTGGTTCGTGGGGAATTGAGCAATATGTTTTGCTGAAACACTACGAAAAAAGAAGCGGAGAAAACTAGAAATAAGGAGCTTGTGGGGGAGATTAGCGATGCCCTTCTTATTGTGCCCAATTTGGATCCTCGCGTTAGGAAGAGAGCAGGCAAAATATTTTTCCTTCCAGATGCCCACGACTTCTGGTTGTCCTTGGATGCAGATGCTCGGATTAAGTGGATTGATGCTTTTATTGATGGGGACTAATAATGAGAGAAAACACCGATCATCTTATGTAGTATAAGAATGTTGTATTACTTTCGACTATTTTTGTGATGTGTTGAAGTGTCAAGGTCTCAACCCCTAAGTACTTGTACTGTATCCTTTGTTTTTGGCGAAGTCTTTACTTCCCACCTTAGGACCGTGTGTTTTGTGTCGTGACAACGTTTGTACTGCTTGTTGACTGAGTCGACCTGTAACATAGAATTCAGTTTCCTACATGTTAATTTCATGGCGTGTTTCTGGAAGATTGATCGTTTCGTCATCATCTCAGCGTGCAATGTCGATTTAATTTCATGTGTGTCAAACGCAGAAAACACATGGCGGGCCCTAACCAACCACGTAACTCGACACGTAATCTTCTTCGTCTAGCTCTTTGTTTGACTGAATAAAATGATAAGGAGAATGACATGAGAGACACTTTTCTTATGACAATGGCAACCACTGCCTCCGTGGCATTAGCCTCAAGTAGTACGATGCGTCGGTGTTATGAATCGGCACTCGGGGGGAAGAATTCACCCATGAGCTGATGCACGGTCACCCGACTATGATTAAAAATTTATTGTGGATACCATCTGATATGTTTCATGATCTTTGCGCCATCTTGATCAAAAAAGGCCTCTTAGATTGCCATCCTAGGCAACGGATAGAAGTTCATGAGCGCGTAGCAATATTTTTGCACACAATGGCACATTCGAACAGGCAACATTCCACTACGGAGCGTTTCCAGCACTAGACATCGACCGTGTGCTACCACGTTAACAAAGTGATCAATGCGCTTATTTGCCTAGCACCGCACGTCATCCGCCCAAGTGACATATCTTTTCCGGCGAGGAAGATACGTGCTCCGCTATTTTCTGAAATTACCTTAAATTGCATTGATCCATTGTCTCTATTGACTTGAATTATGTGGGGGCCATGGACGGAACATTGGTGCATACTTTCCTGCGCGCTAGGGATCAACGACTTTCCACGGAAGAAGGGGTGACACAATGCAAAATTGTCATACCGTCTGTGATTTTGACATGAAGTTCACCTACGTGCTAAGTGGGTTGAAAGGGAGCGGACATTACGCACTTGTGTTAAGGGTTCCTATCTGAGAGCAATGAGACTTCTCATTCCTACCTGATGGTAGGGGCTCATAAACTTCCACCGCGACTTTGCAGTGATGTGGTTACAATCAACTAACATTTTCTTTTTTAAAAATACGGAAGTACTACGTCGGAGATTCTGGGTACATGAATTCTCTTCAGTGCCTAACGCCCTATTGCACGTATCGCTATCACCTTTTGGAATACCAGGGAAATGACCAACATTCCCAAGGTAAGGAGGAATACTTCAATTACCGACACGCACAATGCCAAAATGTAAATGAACGAGCGTTTGGTTGCCTTAAGCTTCGGTTTGCCATTCTTCACAAACCAATGCCAAACTACAAGTATGATCACCACGTCAACTTTGTAATGGCGTGTTCCGTGGTGCATAACTTTATGTTACTCCACGGTGAGGACTTGTTGGACCATGCTGCGGAGGGCCACGAGCCGGGCGAGGATGAGTCAATCCCTGTACCGGTTGTACACAATCGGCAGACACCGAAATCGGGGCGACAAGACCGGAAAGATCAAAATGAATTTCATGATATGATTTCAGAATGGTTTTGGATTAACACATACGAACATGATGTGTAATGCTCGCACCCGTCCCCCGTTGTCCCTTTTATATGTAATGCTACTCTATTTTTGTGATAAACTACCATTTTCTGTGGTGTTGTAAGGTTAACGATGACGTAGATGTGAATCACTTTGTTTTGTTCCATATTTTCGTAAAATGGGCAACAGAGCTACATTTCACTAGAATGGACAGAAACTAACCGGTCGAACAGCACATGTGCGAGCACCACTGGGATTGCCAGCCACAAGCATGACAAAAAATTACCAAACAGATTGCACACCTTGTGCTGCCGGCTGGCCTATTTTCTGCCCACAGGAGGAGAGTATCACTCGCTTCCTTTCGTGGGCATGTATTCATTTTTTGGATATGTTATTTCAGTGTATTTTCTCACCTATTCAGTCCACATTCATAACATTTATAACGCACTGACAGATGATCACCCCACACCATGTGTTTTTTTATTTGTTAGCAATGCTTACTTGGATACATTATTGCAGGAGGTATGGGTTCGAGAATGAGGAAATTAATTACAGGAAAGCGTTTGCACGGACAACCAAGTGCAGATGTGGTCAAAGAAGAATTCGATGATGGTTTCATTCCTTTCAACCAGTTATGCAGCACTGAACCAGACATCGAGGCCAAGTACGCGAGAATGAGCATGTTACCAATGATAACCGGACGGACAATCGACACTGAAGCCGTTCAAGCTATGGGTGGGAAAGTGGACATGGAGAGTCTTTTATCGTGTGGGGCGTGGAGGAGGGTTTTTTAGATCAACTAGCCCGCTTACAAAAAAATTGAGATTAAAGTTTCTCTGCATACTAAAGCATAACAGGCTTGTGTACTGACCCCTAATCAAATTGTTTGGGATTCAGAAGTGAAAGAAATCATTTTATCTACAAATAGCGGAGAACTTGTATCTTTATGCCAAATCTAGTGTGCTTCAGTTTCGACTAGGAAACCGTAGCTACTCACTATCCATCACAGACTTCTTCGTTGCACTGGGATTATACGACCGTGAATTCACGGAGACACGCGAGTACAAGAAAATGGCCCATACGAATGTCTTGGTCAGTATATTGGCCTACGGTAAGCAACAGTCGGAACTTCAATCCAGGAGCATCTAAGGCATTGACCCTGAACTCACCTATTTTAAGGTACGTCCACAACATACTTGCTCATACACTTTCAGGCTGGAAAGACGCAACCACGACAGTAAGCAAGGTGGATTTGGAGTTCCTATGGAGCATGAACAAAGGGGTTCCACTCCATCTTAGGTATTGGTAGCCAGACTTTGTATAACTGTTTCCGTAGACACAAATATATGCAGCATTCCGGTTGGCCCGTATGTGACAAGACTGGCGAAGAGCCTTGGGGTGGCGGAACTTCCAGATGGAGTTCCAAATTCTCAAATAGTTCCATGTGGAATGAAGTCTCTTTTCAGTATGGGACTTTTGCAGTGCCACTGCCAGGGCGATCCTCCACCCCATACTGAACATGGGCCACCACAGCCAGCCCCGAGCCACTCAAATCTATATATATTGTGCAATGAACGCTTCGACAAGATTGGGAGAAAGGTCGATGGAATGTGGCCGAAGCTACGATCCTTCATGTCAGACATGCGACTAAGGCGTACTTCACCCTCGGAGAAAAGATGATGTCATAATGCATTTACATTTCAGGAATCCCTACTAATTTCTATGTAGTAATGAACACCGGTGACAACGCATTGGTGCTAATGATCGGCATATCCGGAACCAACTATTATATTTACGTCCGGTTTTCACGATACTTACAACACTAGAATGCGTACGCTAAGGCTTTGAAATCTTTTGTTGATCTGTAGACCTACATTCTACATCGGTGTACGTGTTTTATCTTGTCTGGACTAGTAGTTGCTTGTTGACGTATCCTGATGAATTAAGAAAGTAAACGTAAAAACAAGAGCCAACGTTTGCCTTGCGTATGCTATGTCAATAATATGTTGTTCTTGTTGAAATGTGAACATCGCATCGTATCTCGTTGTAAAGGTTCGATGTGGACTCACGTTGAAAAGCTTTAAACATAAGTTAGTTGGTAATTCATTTGCTGGCGAAATGTCCCCACATTATAGGGAAACGCGGACTTTTCCGAACAATACCACATTTAAGGTTGTAACTACGTAAGAAGTGTATTGTGCCTAATCCAATAAATCCAATTAAGTAATTGGAAAAGGAAAATGTATAAATAAAGACAATATAATTTCTGGAGATTAGATTGTGATTAAACAACCAGCATAAATTAAACACAAACAAACAAACAACCCTTAATTTGAGATCAAACTAGACGAATAGAACACTTCCATGTTTCACTTCAATAGACGACGGCGGCACAATATCGAGCAATGGACAACCACTCCGACCTCCGACAGAAACTCCCAAATCGGCTCGACAAGAATGATTGGGGAAACTTTTTGGAAAGCTCAGTCTACAACCTCTCTATAGTTGGTGAATGACTTACTCAGAATTCACTAAAAAAAAGATTTAACATAAAAATTGATGGGAGAAGCTGTTAAAACTAACAAATAATATGAAACTCCAAACCCACACTAGAGAATCGCAAGAAGCAGCAGAAGAAAATAACTAGAATGATAGATAGAAAGGGGAAGGGATTTATACGGAGTGAATTTGGGTCAAATGAGTTTCGGGTTGAATCCGGGTTAAATACGTTTGGGCTGCGGGTTGGATTTGGATGATGGGCCAGGCAAAATTTTGACAATGCCTTTGATTAATTGTGTTAATTTCAATTTCAATTTCAATTTCGATCTCAATATTAATATTATTTTAGTTTTATTCGAATTTTGCTTCCACTAAATTCAATCCAAGAATATATTCACAATTTAAATTACGGGACAAATTACATATAAATATATTAATAGCCGACTTATCAATTTATTTGCAATATCTAGTCTAGCTGCGGATCCGAGGAGTTTGAGGGGCGCTAGCCCCCAAACATAAATTTTTATTTAATTTTTTAGTGTAAAAATATATATTTTTTATTATAATATAATTATAGTAATTTGTCTTTTTTAAAATATTAAGATTATAACTTTGTTATGTTTTTTTGTTTTTTTTTTTTTTTTTTTTTATATTGATTGGATTACTATTGTGATAAGGAAAATCAAAGAAAGAGTGAAAACAATAAAAATATATCGATGGTTAGCAAGTTGGTATGTTTCTTTAGCCGAGTTTTCCCAAATTTTATTATTTGAACTCTGTATTTCCCGAAAAAAATATATTTTTTTTCTCATAAAACATCTCATTATTTTCACACCAAATCCAAACCAATTTTTTTTTCAAACTCATAAAAAGAAACACACGCTCGTTTCAGTATTATCTGAATATTTATATTTAGCTAAGCCAAATTATAGTTTTGTGCACAAAAAAATTAATCCATGTATTTGAATTATTGATATAAGTATTTGGTATTTTAAATAAAATTCAGATATGGTTATTGCGACATTGAGCTTTCGAATATTATTTTTTGACACGCTTACTTGTGCGGGCGGCTTTAAAATAATAATAATAATAATACAGTAAGGATCATATGTTGAAAAAAATATTTCAGCACTATGCTCAAAGTCATTAAAATAAATTATTCTAATTATATAAATAATATAATATAATTATATAAATTAAAATAATTAGTTTCAAGTATTCAGCAATCATGCTGAATAATTATATTGAGCATGTGATCTAGTCTGATAATTAATAATAATAATAATAATAATAACACTAATCAAAAGGAAATATTTGAAGAAAATGACTTCCCACCAACAAACCTTAATATACTATAATTTGATGTATATTTTCATCTTTCTGAATTAATTTAAGAAAAAAGTATAGAGAAAAATACTTGTAAAGCTTAATATATGTTGCATGTCGACATAATTCAAAGTGTACCAACTAAAATTGAGAAAATAAGCTCAAAAACATTTATTGCTCTATTTGTATACATAAATATATTTTTTAAGTTAACATTATTCATGAACGAACAATAGTATTTTAAAAAAATATATCACATTAAATATTTATATCTGTTACAAAATATTATATTAAATACTCAAATTTTTGTTATTTTTAAAATTTTCCATACTTACAAAATTCCAAAAATCTCGTTAAACGTAGTTTTTTTTTTATGTATAAAAATATGTTGGGAAGTATTTTTTGGGTAAACTGATTTTTTAGTCCCGTAACTGGACCCTTTATCATTTTAGTCTCGTAAGTAGAGTCTGTCGCAAATTAGTTCCATAAGTGAAAACTTTTCGCTGTTTTAGTTCTTCGGTGCCGGAGACGCCCGCGTGGCTCGCCGGAGGTGACGTGTCCGCCAGGTCAGCGACACCTGGCGGACACGTGGATTTTTTTTTTCATTTTTTAAAATTTTTTAAAAAACTTATTTTAAATTTATTTTTAATTTTATTTGCATTTTTTTATTTTTTTTATTTAGTCCAATTTTAAAAAAAATTTAAAAAAATGAAAAAAAAATCCACGTGTCCGCCAGGTGTCGCTACCTAGCGGGACACCTGGCGGACATGTCACATCCGGCGAGCCACGCGGACATCTCCGGCGCCGGAGGACTAAAACAACGAAAATTTTTCACTTATGGGACTAATTTCCGATAAGCTCAACTTACGGTACTAAAATGATAAGGAGGTCCAGTTACGGGACTAAAAAAACAGTTTACCCGAAAATTTATATACATATTTTTGGACGAGCCCAATTTGAGTTTGTTATTAGCAAGTGACTCTTTTAGTATTTATTTATTTTTTTTATTTTTTGAGTTTATATGGTTAGCTTTTAGAAATCAAGAAAATATTAGTAAAATTTTTACTTTTTTTATATATTTCGTTACAAAAAGATTAATACCTGTATAATTCTATTGAGTTTGTTTACAATGTATTGAGAATAGTATACATTTAAGGCAAATAAACCCTTATAAATATAAATATGTAAGGATATATTTTTAATTAAAAATAAAT